ATCACTATGAAATGGTTTTGTTGTGGCTGATCTCCTGATAGTTGTGGTGTAAATGCCTGAAGTAACTAGGAAAATAAAATTAACATTCACGCTTTTAAGAAAAAGGTACAGCATTGAAGAGGCTTTCAGGGTAGGGCATAACTGCATTACCTGAGTGTTCCCTAGGCTCCCAACCTTAGATGCTATCGCGCTGGGGAAACTTAGTGTGCTAGCTCTAAGGAACACCACGGAGCATGGAGTGGAGTGGAGACACCACGGCTAGGCTCTGTAATCAGGTGGGGCCTCGATTGTTCTTGTGCACAAAGCTGCACTTTTTGCCACCCTAAGCCAAAGACCTGTCATGTTTTGACAAATGCTGTACCCTAGTGTACTTTTTGCTCATTATAATATCATTATAATACCAAAACACACCTCCATCCCAAAAGCTACCCACCTCCAAGGTGCGACCACCCCCCACCGAGCATGCGCCCTGACTTTCTCGGAGCCTATTACTTTAAACGGAGACAGGAAAACTTTACACCAATCATAACTAAGATACGCTTGACTAGAGCCACTCAAGCTCCACCTAAAAGATAGAAAATAATATAAATTGGCCCAAGAGAGAGGGGATGTTAGGGAAGATACCATCGTCAGGGGAGATACCATCCCGAGGACATACAACATCCTTAGGACCTCCTGACTCCTGGGATCAGTCAACGGGCTGAGCCTCTCTTCCCCCCCTATTGGGACGCCTTTGGGTGAGATCTGAATATTTGCTTATAAATCTCTATAGAGTCTTTAATCCTTTTAACGCGTTTATTTCTAGGCTGCGCACCTGTGACACCTATAAACACCTGTAACATCTATAACATCTGTAACATCTATAACACCTGTAACATCTGTAACACCTATAACACCTATAAAACACCTACAACACCTACAACACCTATAACACCTGTAACATCTATAACATCTAACACATCTGTAACATCTTTAACACCTATAACACCTGTAACACCTATAACACCTGTGTATTTCATGCATACTAGCTTGCTTTTGCAGACAGTCACTATCACCGGCAATCCAAAAGAACCTGATTATCTGTTGCTCTAATAAACCATACTTGATTGTATTGTGATAGCTCTCACTAATGCAACTAGGGTGAGGGTGGTTATCCGTGATAGTTCAGTGTTCTGAATCTAACCAGACCCCCAGACGGTTAATGCATTTTTGGTGAATGTCTGAACGGACCCCCAGGTGGTTAATACGTTTTTGGTGAATGTCTGAGTGGACCCCCAGGCGGTTATTACGTTTTTGATAAATGTCCGAACGGACCCCCAGACCGTTAATGCGTTTTTGGTGAATGTCCGACTGATTCAGTACTCTGAACCCAACCGGGCCCGTAACGGTTAATCAGCTACACCCCTTTAACGCAACAATAGTCCAATGCATTGTATTATGAATGTGAATCACAAGATTAATTTAGATGGTTGTTTGCCACATAAAATAAACTCTTAGCCCCACAGAAATGTATGCTACACACCCTAACACTCACTGCAGAAAAAGCACATTTGCTTCAGCATTTTTCATTCCTATCTGTGGATAACTATGCCTTGTAGTTAAGGAGAAACTTGTGTTACATTAGACACTACTGGTTTCTTTACACTGATGTATTATTTCCTACAAAAAATAAATAACCAGTTGATGTCTTTACTACTGAATAAATAGGGAAAAAGTAAAGGTGCAAGGTTTGAGTTGCCTGGTGTAAGAAGATATAGAAAGATTTTTCTTAAGGAGGAAGGTTTTTCTAGGCACAATTTAAAAAAAAACAATAATATAAATACCTCTGTGCTTATGAGTCTTCTCAAACCATGGTTCAGTAATGTAATAAATGGTAAATATTAATATACATCTCAGTGTGAGGTCAGAAATGCTGTAGAGAAGTGCTGCTGCAGAGTAATACAAGCTTGAATTTCTTTTTCATTTTTGTTCAAAAAATGTTGGTAGGCTTACCTGGTCTTTTTTGTCTTTTTTGTCTTTTTTTTTTTTTTTTTTCCTCCTTGGGTCAGTAATTATCTCTCCACACTATTCTAACTTTGTGCTGAATCAAACATTTTATGACAAGTACAAATGGTGTAACACAGGTGTAAAATCAAGGACCCAGCAAAATCTGAGAGGCAGTCTGCATTGTGTTCTGGCTAATTCTGCAGAAATGTGATTGTGTACCTTTGTCTGATATAAATCAGGTTAGTGCTGCTGGGCTACAAGACAGTGAGGTGGTCTGGTATTGGCAGCTGTGGAAGCAAAACATCCTTACTGCACATTTGTTACACAGCCTCTCAGACTCAGGTCTGGATTTGCCTGTGGTGTGAAAGCAGTTCTAACAGAGAGGAAAAATTGTGCAAAGCCAACATCTGAATTAACTGAAGTTTCATAATGCAATCTGTGTACAAGGAGGAGATTATACCTGGCCTTTTGCTGGCAAAGCTGTGAAACTTGGTCTAATATGGCATAGTAGGAGTGTTCAAAGAAATGTTGAACATACTGAGAAAGCCAATAACCCTATAAAGAGAAAAGTTCTGATGGATTATGCATTTTGCCTCACACTAATTTACCTTTTTTTTTTTTTTTTCCCCTAACACAGGTATTTCAAGGTACAAATACCACAAAATGAGCATTTGTTTTTTGTCACATTAATGCTATGAAAGTCTTGCTAAGACATTACAATGAATAGTCATGAGCAGCTTTCTACTTCTACCTTCAGACAGCAAGGGCATGTTAGGCACATGGAATGAGTAAAAAGAATCCCTCAAAATGGTGATTGCTTTAATTTACAGTGGAAACAAGTATAAATATGGCCCAGGGCATGACAAGTGAAGCTTTATGTATGTGTAAGCTATTGTTAGAGTAAGTAGAAATATATATTCACTACTCTGTGTGAAGATGATGGAGCTCCCACTAACTGATCAGTTTTGCGTGTTTGCTATATCAGTACACACAAGTTCCACCTTTCAATAGTTCGCATGGGTGCAATTTGCCTACCAAAGTCAATGCGAGTTGTAAGTATTGGCATATGCATATTTTGGCACCATCACTGATCACTGTCTCCCATAGATAAATTAAATTGTTCAAGTATTGTGTGAGAAGGAGGGTTAAATGTTTCTACATACTGAACCAAACAAGATTTTAAGAACAATTAAAATCAACAGAGGAACCATTTCCTTTTAGTATGAAAAAAAAAAAAAAAAAGGAAAAAAAAAAGGAGTTAGTGAGTCACCTGAGTAAAGTGGGAATACTGAAAATCTGAGCTACTTTTACTTTACCTCTCATCTCTCTGCCTTTGAAATTTCTTTCCTGTCATCTGAGAAGGCGGAAAGACAGAGAGAGGGAAAGGAGAAAAAAAGAAAAAGCAAAGCCCCAAAGCTTTAATAAAGTGTTACATGTGACAGAGCAGACAGACAACTAGTGAAGAGAAGAGACATCTTTAGCAAAGTGACATTGACAGCTTTCAGAAATGCTTGCTGCGTTCATGCTGGAGAAGCCCTTGATGTGTGCAATAATCTACAGCCAGAGACTTGAAGGTTTCTTTCTCTATATATCACCTTTCCCCTTCATGCCACCATAGTTCTCAATACCAGAAAGCTATCAAAATGAACTGGAAAGCTCTCAGATTTTTTTTTTTTTTTAAGTAGAAAAATAAAGAAATAAACATTTGTTGCTTGTTTGTTTTTTTTTTGTTTGTTTGTTTTTGGTGGTTTAGTTTTTGTTTTTGTTATTCTAATTCTTTTGTATTTTCCTCCTTTATGTTGCTTTTAGTACTTGGTGGGTTGGGTTTTGCTTATTTAAAAGAAAAAGCTGTTTTACACCTTCACAGTGCTGCTACCACCAGTGAACATCAAGAGTAATGGACCTCATGTATAATTCATGTAATCAAAACTTTGCAACTGTGCAAAATTGTGTACCCCACATCCTGTGCCTCCAAATCGGCTTCCATAAACTGTCAGAAGTTACAGCGGTGTGGCTCACTGAGTGGCCATAAACTGAAGCACTAATGAAGCTGCCTGAACAGCACCATAGAGAGTCATTTAATCAGCCTATGTTTTTAATTTTGATCGGCTGACAGGTGGCCAAAAATACTGAAAAAAATAAAAAGAAAAAAGAAAACCTGATCCAGTTACCACTAAACAGAATTGGAAACACACAAAGAGATTTTAATCAAGGCTCCACTTTTGATGGACAAAATTAAAGACTACTTTGAAAACACCAAGTCACTTTTAGTATTAAATTTCGAAAATACACTATTCAGCTTAATAATTATGGAATTAGGTACGAATTACTGAAGTAAATGACTTTGAGGCACTGTGATCAGGGAGGTGTGTTATCTCAAATTTACATATGCTTTAGAGTTTTTTAATAAGATTTAAAATAGCATCAACTTCCCAGTTCCCCAGATTATACTTGTGCTCCTTTTCTTTCTTCCTTTCCCCATTTACACTGACTTGGTCTAATCAATGGCTTCCTGAATTTAGACACTACTAGCTGTGCTGCTTCAAAGATTTATGAAATCTGAATCCATTCTCTTTTATTAAACTGTGTCAAGTGAAATCTCAGTTGCTGAAGTCAATGAATGCTTATTTTTGCCTTTGAGCTCAGTGAGTGTGGGTACTTGCCCATGAGTTGAGCTCAGACACAGTAAAAAGTTGTACTGTCCAGAGCCAGTAATGGGTGGCTTACCTCCATGCAGTCTGTGTATCCTTTTATGTTCAAACCTATAAAATCTCGAGTTTTTCAGTCTCACAATTTGTACAGTTCTTACTGTGCCAGCATCATCCATGACACTAAAAGCAACTCTTCTAGTTCTTAGTTTACTTAGACAAGAGTGAAGAATGTCCACAAAAGACTTTAGTATTTTCTTATCTTCTCTAGAAATTCATGCAGTTTCCTCAGTATCTCTACATGTGTTAATATACTTTATTGGTGTCCCACACCTTCAACACAACATACATGTTTTAACAAACGGATAGTTTCATTCTCTTTTAATTTAAGCTTCTGAGAAGAACCAGTGTAGAGCTCCTGTGGAGTGCAGACAGAAAATCCAAAGTAGTAATGACATACAGGATGGCAATATGTTTGAGATCAGAAAAGAAATACTATAAACTTTTACTCAGAAGTACATGAAAAAGCATCTTTCTGCCTACAGCTGCTGTTTGATCTTTTCAAAACAGGCCTGGATATAACAAAATCCCATTGCAAATCTAATACATAAATGAGAAATGCTATGCTTGCAATTCTGCCTCTGAATCTCATATTGTTGCCTACGTTTAGCTGCCTTTTCTCCTTCATCTTTAACATGAGTGAATTAAGTCAGAGTCTTTGTCCAGTCTCCGATTTTATTAGTGCAGTGGGTTATTCATTCTTCTAGGGTTGTTGCGTCTGATTCGAGTGATCTATAAAAGATAGTCACCTTTACTTCGAGTGTCTTTCATCTCATTACAATTCCAAAAAGACTTCTACATGCAGTGAACAAAAACAGAATCAATCCTGGCAATATTAACATGCTTAAAGCAACTGAGCAGAAGTACACAGAAGGAAATAATCATTTGGAAGGGATATGAGCAGGAATAGCTCAGAAATAACTCTTTAATGTCCGCTGGTAACCATTGATGCAATAAGAAAACATGTACTGCAAATACATTGCCCTCCATCATCTATATTTAACATTGTTCACCTGATACTAAACAGATCAGTATGCCTCCTAAACAGACCCAAGTTTTCTAAAACAGTCTAGAAAATTTTGAGTATTACATAAATTGCTCTCTCACTTTTTAATAGACTGCCTCATTATTTACAAAAGAAAACAATATTTCTTTTTGCATGTGTGAGCAGACATGTATATACTGTTTATCGTGGTGTATATGCTACATGGAGGAATTTCATTCAGATGCTGCCCATTAAGATCTTACATCTTCTCCACCAAGGTATCAACAGAACTAGCTCCTGCAGAGTAAGAGGAAACAAAATAAAACAAAACCCCTGTATATTATGAACTGTCTTCTAGACTCTGTGTTCCCAGTTTGTCTGCAGGTTCAAAAGGTGGCTGCAAAATAGCTGAATGTATCTTCTACGTCTTTGGTAAGTGGGCCAGGTAGCACAACAGAGGCTCCATGATAGAATGTATAAAGAACTGTAAAATGTGGAGTTTAGACCAAGTCATACCACAGCCCCTTTTAAGCCTCTTACTGGATGTGGAGGCCTGCCTAAGATGGAAGTCCTGTACTTTCATGAAGCATGTACTCAAATGTTTTGTAAGATATTTTATTACAAAACCCTGGCAGCTGTAAAAAAGAGCTGTGCTTGCCAAATGTCACTACTGAACAAGAGAATCTGGCCTAGATTCCTTAGGACTTCTTTGTATTTGTATATTACTTACCTATGCAATCCTTCCAATATTAAATTTTGAAACTGATATCTGAAAACAAACAAACAAACAAACATGAAAAACAAACCTCCATTTGGTCATTAATTTTACAATACCTGAGTAATGTTGCAATTCATCTTAGATTTTTCAGTCTACCAAGATTTCTTATTTAGGCAAATTGTTATAGAATTTGTGTTTCAAACAAAATTTTACTTTCACTCTTCATTTCCATCTTGGTAGTGTAAGAGTTGCACACATTGGGATATTTCTGGATAGATACTTTCAACACCTGAGCAATGAATATTTCTCTTCATTACCAACAAATAGCCTCTCCCACGTTTCTGAATAAACAGAAAGAGATTTAAATGATTACTTTTTTTCTTTCTTGCAAGGATAAATATCTTTGCCCTTCTTGGTTCCGCAATACAATTTACATGCCTCTTTACATGTTGTATTTCAATTTCTAACCCTCTAACTACTGGACAAAGTCATGTTGATATTACAGGGAGAATTCATTGATTTCTCTAACCAAGAGTAGTCAATGTAAATACACTAGATTTTTAATTTTAAAATTTTATTCTTAATGTTAGTAACGAATATGGGTTTCACATCCAATAGTAATAGGTATGATACATTATAATTAAATTATAGAATATTTCAAATTACACTCCTATATTAGTTGTGCCTGCACAACTAATAGTTAATTTCTTGCTATGTCAATTGCCTTTTGGCTACTCAATATGTAAAAGGTATTAAATGAAGCCAAATCCTGACCCAACAAACCTGTACTTGTATATGCATGTACATCACTGATTTTACATGACATACATAGTGCCTGCATATCTGAAAGCAGACGTGGTTTCTGTAGTGCTTAGAAATAAAATCATTTGCTGTTTCCAAGGCTGTGCTTTTTCTTGCCTTTTATCTGTGAACTGGTAAAGTGTTTTCTATCACTCCATAAGAATTAAGGTTGCAAAAGTCAATAATAGATGCCTGAATCCCCATCAGAATAAGTCTCTCTTATGCAGCCTCATGTTTTATGCAGATTAGGTTTTTGCTTGATTTTCTATTGCTAGAATACATTAAGGTTTAATGGACCCAGACAGGAATTGGATTACAAAAATTAGAGCTACTGTCATAATCTTTATGGACAAATGAAGGAAAGAATGCAAAAAAAATAAAAGTACATGGGGTGAGGAGTGGTAGGATTTGTAGAGGAGAAATTTTGCAAGACACTTAATGGCAAATGTTCTGAAAATTGTGATTATAGATATACAATGAGATCTCATCCTCAGTCTAGCATAATGAATATTTTCATAATGAATACAGCATGAGTTCCTACATAAGTTTTTGCTATTGCAGCTGAGGTAACTTCTATGAAAAATTTTGTTTCCTCCAGGTTAGACTATCATATGTATGTTCACATTAAGTGGAGAATTTACCACAAATATAAACTCACCTACAGACATCTATCTATTAGTAGCTGTGGTGGTTTTACCCAGCTGGGCAGCTGAGCTCCACCACAAGTGCTCTTACTCCTCCTTCTCAAAGGGAAAGGGGGAGAAAATACGATGAAAAGGTCTTGAGGGTTGAGATAAGGATGGGGAGATCACTCAACAGTCATTGTCACTGGCAAAACAGACTCAGCATAGGGATATTAATGAAATATATTACTTATTACTAACAGGCTAGAGCAGCTAGAAACTAAAAGCAAAGTAAAAATACCTTCTTCCCATCCTCTCTCTCTTATGTCCTTCCCCAGAGTGGTGCACGGGAATGGGGAATAGGGGCTGCAGTCAGTCCCTAATGCTTTATCTTTGCCGCTCCTTCACGGTCACTCCCTGCCCCTGCTCCACGTGGGATCCCTCCCATGGGATGCCATCTTTCCCAAACTGATCCTGGGGGGCTGCCCACAGGCAGCAGCTCTTCAAGAACTGCTACAACATGGGTCCGTACCAAGGGGTTCCTCTGTCAGGAGCAAACTGCTCCAGCACGGGTCCCCCACAGGCAGCAGCTCCCCCCAGACCCCCTGCTCCTGCGTGGGCTCCTCTCTAGGGGCTGCAGCTCTGGCCCAGGGCCTGCTCCTGCAGGGGCTCTCCATGGGCCACACCCTCCTCCAGGCCACATCCACCTGCTCCACCAGGGGCTCCTCCACAGGCCGCAGGGGAACTGCTGCTGCGTGCCTGGAGCACCTCCTGCCCTCCTGCTGCAGACCTGGGAGTCTGCAGGGCTGCTTCTCTCACACTTTTTTCCTCCTCTCTCCCAGCTGCTGTTCCTCAGCAGTTTGTTTGTTTGTTTGTTTCCCCTTTCTTCAATCTGCTCTCCCATAGGCCCACCCAGCATTGCTTACTGGCTTCGCCCTGGCCAGCAGCAGGTCCCTTTTAGAGCTGTCTGGACCTGGCTCTTATCTGACATGGGGCAGTTGCTGAGCTCTGCTCAGAGGCCAGCCCTGCAGGCCCCTTGCTACCAAAACCTTGCCATGTAGACTCAATATAGTAACAACAATAACAAAAAAAAAAAAAAAAAAAAAAAAAAAAAAAAAGGCACTTATATGCTTAGTTGCAAATATTAAGGAATAAGATGTGTATAAATACCTGTATAAATACCTTCAAAGGTGAACATACTTGTAAAAAGTCTTACTGTGGACTTACATGTATTCCTGTCTCATTAAAGTCATTGGGACTGGGTATCCAGTCTCTCCATGTCCTCCTAGCTCGATTAGAGATGTTCTTCTTTGTTTACAGATCCAAATTAGTCATTTAAGTACTTCTGACATTTCAACCAGAAGGATTACACATAAGGTACACCATTTAAAAATTGTGTTTCTGTGTCTTTGGCTGAAAACAATGTGACAGGATATGAAGGATTTAAATTCCTTCTACATAATCACCATCTACGATTCAGAGATATCCCGAGGTATCCTTATTCTGTAAACAATTGCCTTACATTTCTCTTATAGCAAGGGGCTAGTGAACTCATTTTTTGTGCCTTGGATTACTGAAACACAGCGGAGCTTTTATCCCCTCATATATAAATATTTTAAAAATTGCATTCTGTGGGAAAAAGTAAGGGTTTTACATGGTTTATGTAAATCCACAGTTTATGGATTATTATCTTCATATTTGCATTAGAAACAAGAATTAGACAGATTCTTTCATGAGGTAATATTTTCATGCCAAAAGAGTATCTTAGACTGAACATATTTATTACCTGTGTCATGCTATAATGCAGTAAACATCAATAACTTTGATTACTAATGGAAAATCATGTCATGAGCCTCCTTCATCATTTCTGGATGAGCTTTCTCTGTCTTGAGAAATCAGGAAGCCTGTAAATGATATTATAGTATATGTGGGAACACAGGTAATTTCATAATAACCTGCTTAACTTAGGTAAGAATACATAATAAATACCAATTGGCCAAATAAGTTTGTTTGTTTGTTTGTTTGTTTGTTTTTTCCCCCGCTAAGAATTACAAACAAGTTACTTTCCTACTACAATTCAAATGAAGAAAGAAAAAAGCATACTATAAAGAAATAGGTTAAAAAAAAAAAAAAGATAGTGGAAGGACTCAGTGATGTTCATGAATACAAACAATGCTCTTTGAACATCTTTCACATTGAAGAATAAATACAAGTCCTATAATCACTAATATTGATCTTAATATTAATTATCATGAAAGTATTTAAAGGAATCAAACACATAGAGGAAAGCACTGAATTACTAATCTGAATTACTAATTCAGATTCAGTTTAGTAGTGGATAGTCATTCTTCTTTTAAGAATGAGTCCAGGGAAAATTGTCTGACCTTGATTAAGTTATGTTATGTATGTAGCATAGAAAATTCCATCTCTGATATTACCTATTTGGATGCAAATATTATAAATTCATATACCTGTTAATACACATAAAAACACATGAAGGTATTTATATATATATATATATATATGTCCTGATTGTGGAAAACAAAGATTTTGTGAATGACATTACCCACACATTCAATTTTTGTTTAATGTTAGAGATAACATGACAGTTTGCTCAAAATATAAAAGGGACAGCATGGTAATAATACATAAAATTATCTTTTTAAATTATACTGGACTAGTGGTTTTTCAATTTTAATATTGTAGAGATCACATTTCAAAATACTGCTATTATTTTTTTCACTGAATTATTCTTTATCATCTGTTTATAGAGAGAACAATAGCAAAATGGTATCCTACTGAACCCAATAAAAAATCCTGATTCATACATTAACTATATAGCTCCAATAATCTTTGATATAAAGGGCAACAGATGAGATGATAATACTGTGTACAACATCATCACCAAAGAGGTGAAAGGAGAATATAGGATTCTAAAAGAAGCATCTATAATACCTAAAAGGCCAATTTTGTTGTATACAATACATAAAGACTCTGGGAATTCATCCTGAGACTACAAAACAAGGATAAAAGTGCTCAACCGGCCTTTTTTTTTTTTTCTTTTTTCTTTTTTTTTTTAATATAGTTTTAGGGATAGTGTGTGTAGTTTTACAGAAAATGAAATAAAGATAAGGAAACACGGAATGAAAAAAAACAAATGAGAATTTCAACTTTTCAAAAAGTTAACTTCAGTTTAATATTTTTTCATGTGATCTGTTAAATATTGATCACATAGTGACTTACTGACTGAATTTTTCTTAATAAAGCATACAGAGCAAGGTCTTTTTCTCAGAAGACATGTCATTTTTGTAGTATTCCAATGTTACACCTTTTACTCAATGCTCCTTGAGTAAAAATTAAATCTTTTTAAGTTTTGCCTATATAAGGCTCAAGGCTTCTTTCTTTCTTTCTTTCTTTTTCTTTTTCTTTCTTTCTTTCTTTCTTTCTTTCTTTCGTTCTTTCTTCTTTCTTTCTTTCTTTCTTTCTTTCTTTCTTTCTTTCTTCTTTCTTTCTTTCTTTCTTTCTTTTCTTTCTTCTTTCTTTCTTTCTTTCTTTCTTTCTTTCTTCTTTCTTTCTTTCTTCTTCTTTCTTTCTTTCTTTCTTCTTTCTTTCTTTCTTTTTCTTTCTTTTTTCTTTCTTCTTTCTTTCTTTCTTCTTTCTTTCTTTCTTTCTTTCTTTCTTTCTTCTTTCTTTCTTTCTTTCTTTTTCTTTCTTTCTTTCTTTCTTTCTTTCTTTCTTTCTTTCTTTCTTTCTTTCTTCTTTCTTTCTTTCTTCTTTCATTTCTTTCTTTTTCTTTCTTTCTTTCTTTCTTTCTTTCTTTCTTCTTTCTTTCTTTCTTTCTTTCTTTCTTTCCTTTCCTTCCTTCCTTCCTTCCTTCCTTCCTTCCTTCCTTCCTTCCTTCCTTCCTTCCTTCCTTCCTTCCTTCCTTCCTTCTTTCTGTCTTTTCTTTCTTTCCTTCTTTCCTTCTTTCCTTCTTTCCTTCTTTCTATTTTAGAAAAATTATTCATACTAAATTTCTTGGTGTCCTGATAATTTACTAAAATCTTGAAGGTCTCTTCTAACCTAGATGATTCTGTGTTTCTGTGTAAACTTAGAATAGAATGATAGTCCATCTTAAAAGAGTATATATCCACAATAAATCTACTTATTTGGTTAAAAAGTTAATCAAATTATTAGAGGACTTTTCAATCTTCATCCACAACATCCAGTGTTTTTTGTCTCAGTTTTTCCATAAAATCCCATACAAACATAAAACTTCTAAAAAATTATAAAGGTGTGTGCAGTTTCCTTTGTCATAGTTTGGATTACTGTTATTATTAATATTTGTTTATTTATTTTTGACTAGAAGTCCTTAAAAAGGGGTATAATAACTGACTATTATTCCTTATTTTAACATAAAGGTAGGAGGTCCATCTTTGTCAGACATGTTTCTTCCGCATTTATTTGTGTCACTTCCTTGTTTCATGAAAACTGTGTTTAACTTCTTTGTTCCTTATTCTTATTTATGTTTCATGCCTCAGTTTTTAAAGTGTCTCTGTGGATACTTTTTATGTCTTTGCCTCACTCTAGTTTCCAGCCTCAGTCTTCCCCCTTCTTAAGACACTTGTTATATGTTTTCCAGTACACCTAGATCATAGAGACATAGAATCATTTAAGCTGGAAAAGGCTCATAAATTCATCAAGTTCAACCACCACCTAACACTACCATCAAATACTGACCCATGTACCCTCTTCATTCAAGAGGGTATAATGGTTTCAGCACAGGAAAAAGACACAAATCTGTGACTTCTTTTGGAGACAATCCAGAATCAACCTTAAGGCCCTAGTCATCCTTAAGCCCTTAGTTCAGCTTGTAGGATAGACAGTAGCAGTCTAATCAGCTCTAAATACAGTGAAGGTTGGACAGAGTGTGGTCAAGTTAGAGTTTCCCAGAATTTTAGCTACTGAAATCTTATTGGTTTCTCTGATATATGCCGAGTCAAATTTGGGTAACATTGAGTGTGGCAAATGACACTAATCACTTACTTAAAACCAATCACCTGTAAAACTTCATGCCCCCATTCCAAAGTACAGGAACATTTATTCATGTAACTTCCAAAAGCTCTTTCTCAGCAGCTGTACTCTTTTGGAAGAGATGTAATTAAATGCCTGGTTGCAACTGGCATGCTTCAAGTTCCCAAGTGTCTATTTCAGAACACATGTAGGGATGTGACAGTGGAAGAGTCTAGATAATACCTCACACCTCAATATTTCCATAGCCCTCACTTGTCTTGTGTGCAAGTTTTAACAGAGACAGACAAACAAAATGCTTTCATAACAAGATTTCACCTTTGTGAAAATGTAGACCTCCTAACTCAAATGGAGGATGGGACCTCAACATCCCTGTTCCAAGTGATTAGAGTGCTTTGCCTCTCTTTATGAGGAAGTGATGGAAGACGCTTGATGAGTTTAAGAGGCGTGGAAAGAAAAGCCCCTGATTCCTCTCATTTCTATTTTCCCATTGGGGATCCACCTTTCCCAGTCTTTGATATATCTGACTATTCAGACACCATTTTTCACCTCTGAAGGAAAGTTTTAAAAACAAGAGTGTTTGGCTTGGTAA